TCTATGACATCCCAGCAGCATTTTCTTCGAGGAACCAACATCAATTCATGATGTCCTCATCATTGCCAGCAGTTTGACAAAGACAAATGCAGACTAAGACAAAGAAACTTAAGTTTTTTGAACTCACTTCACTTCAAGTGATAAGGAAACAAATACAGAAGGAGAACTTGGGAGAGTGAGAGTGTGTCTCTGTCTCTGTCTCTCTCTCTCTCTCTCTCTCTCTCTCTCTCTCTCTCTCTCATGTATATATGTGTGTGCACGTGTGCACATGATTAAACAGCAATATGCAAAAGAGCTACCCAAAATTTAAAATGGTTTTCCTTGAATAAAGCTGAAATAATTTTTCTGGTGGGAAATAGAGACATTGGGGTGAAACAGGAACAACAAATTGGGTGTATATTGGAACTGTCTCTCTTTTTAGTGGTTTGGACACAAAAGTGGTTCTACTTGCCTGTTCTTTCCTTTTTTCTTTTGGAAAGCATTTAATTTTAGAATTGAACAAAAAAAATCCAATTTTACTTGGTCGTAGACTTGGCTTCTAATAACTTCAAAAGCTAGGGAAAGATAGAAAAAGTGCTTTTGATTTTCTAAGCTGGACCGAGTTTCCGGAGCCCCAACCTTCTTGCACCCCTTTGGGCATCCTACTTGGTACCTGGGAAAATGCTGACCTAGAGACAGACTTAACTTATTCCACCCTAACTCCCATAGCTGCTCTTAACTTTCTTGTGTATTGAAAGAGCTCTTTTGGCTGGAGAGAAAAATGCTTTGAGGACAAGTGTGGGTTGAGGTGGTAGCCAAGGAGTATCTTTGATCAGAAAGCAAACCTCAGCTGTGGGTAAAGGCAGGACTAGCCTTTTCATTTAGGGGATTTCTACAATTATGTTATAAGTTCCCGAGAAAGACCCATTCTGCCAAGAATAACTCTGCTTTGCCAGAGGATGCCAGAAATTCCACAATTTTTAGTTCAGTGACTGAAGCATCTGTTAATTTGCAAAGGTGCATGTGTTCAACCTTCCTCAAAGGCAGAACTGATAATCTAATCTAGCGATTTTCTAATATAGCGATTATAGATGCCTTTGAGAACCTGAAGAATTCTATATCCCAGAAAAATGCACACATGCACATTACGAGTTGAACTTTTCTCCTATTGCAAACAACAGAAGCCAACTCTAATTTAAGCAAAGGGGGGATTTAATGGAAGAAAATTGAGTGGGAGAGGAAATGGAGCTGCTTTGGGCACCAGACAGCAGGAACTAGTTCCTAGTGGGCACAACTTCTTTGTGTGCTGTCAGTGAAATGAATCTGACCAAGCTATGTTTTCCTCTGGCTGTTAGACCGTCAAAATTTCCCCCAGAGGAACTCTGTTTGGCTCGGCTTAGATCCCCAGCCCTTCCTTGGCTAAGGAGGTAAGGCTTGTTGGCTGACATGCCACCAAGATAGAATAAGATATGGAGAGGGGCCAGCCCCTAAGGAGAAATCAGGGTCCTGGCATTACCAGGAAAGAAGGAAATGATGCCAGGCAGGCAAAAACAATAAATGCCCAATAAACACACTCACTCACTCAGAATTCTGCATATTAGGTAAGTGAGGGAATCTGAAACCCCAGCTTTAAAAACTGGGGTGGAAAAGCCCCTGATTAGCTATACCCTATAATCAATATTTAAATGCTCTATAAAACATACCATATTTCCTGAGAGTAGGCTTATTATTAGAAAATTTGGAGTTAAGGAGAAATTGGGTAACCTAACAAAAAAAAATGATGATAAAGATACCAAGAAGTGACAGAAAGCTAATAAAGAAGCTAGGACAGTAAAATCATGGCTTTCCCATGCCTGACCCTAGATTAATGAATATCTGTGGAAAGGTGCATCTACTCTTATCCATGTCAGAGGTTCTGATACCAGTTATCTGCTGGACATGCATGGGGCCCACTGGCATTCCAGTCCTAGAGAAGACGATTAAGAGGGACCCACTGCATGCAGAATAATGCTCGAGAGTGAGTGGTGCTATAGAACCATGCCTCTGTGCTTGACTTCTGATTTCCTGGTATGAGTGCAGCACTCAGAGAAACCCATGATGGTAGGGGAGACAGAGTCTCTTCCCCATCTCAGCAAGATGTCACATGGATCAAGATCTGAAGTGACCTGGGAGGTATGCTCTGAGGACCAATGAACACACTGTGCATCTCTCCTCTACTGCTAGTTGGAGCAAATGGCTACACGGAGAAATGAGCTGTTATTGAATAACTTCCAATTTCAGACCTTTACAACTTGGTTCCTGAACAGGTGGTGCAGATACCTTAGGAGGCCCACTGTGAAATTCCCTTTGCCTACTTCTCTAGATGCATCTCAAGTGCCTCTCAGTCTCACACACTCATCTTCAGCCATATTGCCTCCTTTAAAACTCCCTGTCCTCCTAGAAACCTCAGAGGTTGGTTGGTTTGTTTTTGAGACGGAGTTTTGCTCTTGTTGTTCAGGCTAGAGTGCAATGGCATGATCTCAGCTCACCGCAACCTCTGCCTCCTGGGTTGAAATGATTCTCCTGCCTCAGCCTCCTGAGTAGCTAGGATTATAGGCATATGCCACCATGCCTGGCTAATTTTATATTTTTAGTAGAGATGGAGTTTCTCCATATCGGTCAGGCTGTTCTCGAACTCCCGACCTCAGGTGATCTGCCCACCTCCGCCTCCCAAAGGGCTGCGGTTACAGGCGTGAGCCACTGCTCCTGGCCAATCTCAGGGTTTGATCACATATTGTTCTCTCTGTCTGATGTGCCATTCCCCAACTCTAGCTAACACCAACTTACTTCTCAGTCCCAGTATATATTTTATTCCTCACAGAAACCATCACTGACTCAAATTGGATCAAGCCTCCACCCATTGGCCTATACGTGTTTTTCACTATGCTTACCATAACTGTAAAGTATCTGTGTGCCTGTCTATTCTATTCTTGTCTCCATCTCCCTACCATGACAAATTCTGGAAGGGTGAAGCCTCCGTCTGTCTCATTTACTTTTGTAACCTGAGTGCCAGGCCCATGTTAAGTAATCATTATATGTATGTTGAATGAATGTTGTTCGGCATTGCACCAAAGGAGAGGTGCTCTCAAGGATGAACGGTAGAAAGAAAGGGGTTAAATTAGTAAATTTAGAGATTGATGAGCATGCCGATGTGTTAGAGGTGGAAACAGATATAAAACAAAAGACGCTGACAGAATCGTAGAATAGTCCATTGTTTCAACCTCAGGAGTGAAGGCAAGAGAGTACATGGAATACGGCCAAAGACAGTCAAGGTTTTAGATAAAGCTGAGAGCTCATGTATCACTTTTGGTTGCCTTGGCAACAGAACCCTCATCTCATGCTAATGATATTATAATATGATAAAGCAAATACAAATAAGTTAACACCTTATCAAAAATGGAGCCACAAATGGTCTGGTTTAACTACACCTTTGAGGATAACGTAAGATGGAATCTTAGAGGGGCTCTATGCTGCAAATAATGCATCCTAGAACTTGAGTTATGTATAAAAGGGTTAAACCAGGCCATGGAATTTGACAACCAAATCCAAAATGCATATGTGGAAGCACATAAGGCCATGATCAACTAAGATGGTTTTGAATAACAGAATAAGGGATGGGACTTCCCCTATATTTCAGTTATCTTTTAACATGATTGTACGGTGGAACAAACAACCACAAAGCCCCCGTGGCATAGCACAATAAGCATTGATTTCGACTTGTAAGTGTAAGGTTGGCATTGCAGTTACGGTGTTCTGAATCGAGTGTGGCTATTTTGGCTGTGCTCACTCACATGAGGAGCTGGTAGGTTGGGTGGGCACTGGCCGGTTTAGGATGGTCTCAGCATGGCTTGGCTCCACCCTGCTTCAGGTGTTCTTTCAGCCTTCAGCATACTAAGCTGGGCTTATTCTCATAGTGGACACAGGGTTCCAAAAGGGGTGAGAATATGTAGGGCCTTATCTATATATTGAGACCTATGTCTGGAACAGGCACACTGTCATTTTTATCACATCCTTTGTAGCAAATTCAGTCTTGATTCAAAGGATGGAGAAAGAGACTCATCTTCTTTATAGTATGAACTGTAAAGTTATTTTGCTAAGGGCATACATACAAGAAGGCTATTAATTTTATCTGTCAATGCAGTCAACCAACCATACCAGAAATCAATGTATTATAAAGCTATAGTAACTAACTCAGTATGATATTGGTATAGAAATATATAAGCAGAATAAGGATGTGGTATTATGACAAAAAAGAGACTCATATGATAAGAAAATATCGTAATGACAGAGATAGGGTTGCAAAGTGTACTGTGGGGAAAATGGTAAACTATTTAACAAATAATTCTATAACAAGAGGCTCTCCACATTGACGGGGTGGAAGGAGAAATCATTTCTTACCTCACATTGTGCACAAAAATCAATCTCAAGTTTATAAGATCTAAATGTAAAAGGCAAAACTTTTAAAATTTTTAGAAGAAAATATACTAGACTATCTCTACAGCTTGAGTGGAGGGAAATATTTCTCAAACAAGACACAAAAGGTATAAAATATAACTAAAATGTAGATAAATTCAATTAAATTATAATGTAAACCTTTTATGCAAAATAATTCCAAAAAGTGTAAAGAAAAGCTCCAGTCTTCAGGAAGATATTTATAAAGTAATTGAGGAAAGGTAGTATTGAGAACTAACAAAGAACTTTCAAAAGTTAATGAAGAAAAGATAATAGAAAAAACCATAAAAATAAATGTGCAAAGGAAGAGGAAATCCACAAAAGAGGAAACCTAAATGGCCAATAAGCATATAATATAATGATCAATCTTATTAGTTAGTTATTGGGCAAATGCAAATTAAAACCATAATAGGCCAGGCATGGTGGCTCATGCCTGTAATCCCAGCACACTGGGAGGCTGTTATAGTGAACCCCAAGTTTCTCTAAAAAGAATCAGTATGTCAGTATGTTCAGCTCTCTTATTCTTTAATACTCTATTTTAAAGTTTAACTTCCTTGTAATTCCAGTAAACAACCTTCTCCACTGGTTCTAATCAGTAGTTCACATCTGCTCCCCCGCTCCCTGGCTCCATCCAGACTCATCCCAGTTACCTGATCACCCCTGGCTACCTGATCTACCTGCTCTGACCCACCCATAATTGTCCTTCCCACCAAAACACTCACCCTGCCACTCCAGCTCGGACCCCTCCTCTTTTTAAAATAGCCAATCAGGATTAGTCAAGCTTGTGTTGTCTAACCCTAGCCAACAGGGGACGACACAGCAGTAGTGACGACAGCATGAGTACCCCTTCCCCTTCTTGTCCAAGCCTGTGACTGCCATTGTTCCATCCATATGCCATACCCTTATATAGAAATAAACTGCCTTGCTGAAAGGACTTATCTTTAAGTGCTATTTCTTTTGTAGCATAGAAATTTTACTTACAACAAGGCAGAGCTGGGTGGATCACATGAGGTCAGGAGTTCGAGACCAGCCTGGCCAACATGGTGAAATCCTGGTCTCTACTAAAAATACAAAAATTAGCTGGGCAACTTGTAATCCCAGCTACTTGGGAGGCTGAGGCAGGAGAATCACTTGAACCTGGGAGGTAGAGGCTGCAGTGAGCTGAGATCACATGACTGTACTCAAGCCTGGGCAACAAAGTGAGATTCCATCTCAAAAAAAAAAAAAAAGTCATAATAAAGCATAATTTCGTATCTTATTAATTTGCCAAAGACTATGCAGGTTGGCAATATCAAGAGTAAATGTGGAGCCACTGGAACTCTCATACACAGTGGGTAAGAACTGAAATGAGCATAACTACTTTGGAGAATAATTTGGCAATATCTAGGAAAGTTGAATATGCAGATACCCTATAACCCAGCAATTCCATGTCTATATCTTAGAAAAAGTGTCACATACTTTTCCCAATTCATGCATGGGAATATACGCTGCAGTGTTATTTGTAATAGAAAAATGGTAAACATCCTAAATATCTATACATAAGTATGAATGAATAATATTTGCATAGTCATACAAAGGAATATTACACTATAGTAAAAATGAATGAACTAGAGGTAACATAGCCATACATGAAAAACACAGTATAATGTTGGATAAAAAGCAAGTTATAGAAGATATATGCAATACAATAACAGTTTAAGACATATTAAACCACACTATATTGCTTAAGAATATAGTAAAAGCATAAAGATATACATAGGATGATAAAGTAAAAATTCAAGATAATACTGCAAATCACCTCTGGGGAGAAGGTCAGGTTATAAAGAAGAGCAGGTAATTGGGAAACGTCTGCAGGAGGCCTCAACTGTATCCATAATGTTATATTTCTTAAGCTGGGTAATGTAACATAAGTGCATTTTTGATATTAGTCTCCACATGCTATTTGTATGTCAGATGGTTAATTTTTAAAAATAAGTGAATATTTAAGAGTCTTCCTATGAAAAAGAAAGAAACAATGGGGCCAAAAGAAGAACCTAAACTCTTATCTATAGGCATATCTGGGTCTGCTTACTCCAGCTCCTCTCTCTAAACCATGGAACTTGTTTGGAAATATTAGAGATAAATAGGAAAAAACGAATAGTTAAATAAGTTTGAGGAATTCTGGGTAAAATAAAGCTAAATATGCACTCTTTGCTGCAACACTTGTCAGAGTCTTTGCAATGCTAATGGCACTGTGAATCTCTGAATGGGAGAGAGAGTCAGGAGTGTTTCCCTCTTTAAGTCTGGAACCATTTTTTCATGCAGCATCTCAGGGCAAGGGTATTCCATGAAATACATTTTGGAAAATGTGCCCCCCAGACGTTTCATTTTCCTGTCACCAGCCTGTATCCCCACGTCTCATCCTGCCCACAAATTCCACTCCCTTATCAAGACCCATGTCTTTGTCATTTCGTCTCCATCTTTCCACAAGCATAGCTTTCTCAGGCCTTTGTCTTTCATGAAGGCAACATGGCGCTGTGAAAAGAGCACTTAGCTAGAAATTTGTGAGCAATCCTGGCCTCAGTGCTTCTCAACTGGGGCACCCAGGGCAGGTTATTTAACTTCTCTGTACCTTGGTTTCCGTGTACAAAGGGAGAGAAGAATCATTTACCCCATAGGAGAATTGTGTGTATTGAGTTCACACTTGTATAGTGTAAGGTCTGACGGCACTGTGGACAGCATGGTGACCCTGTGACCCACATGTATACCTTCTGGAATTAGAAAACCTGAAGTAGCTGGAAGGAAGAATGATCAACAGCACCTAACAAACCTGAGACATTCTTCTATTGTTTCTTATTCTGGCCTCAATAGACAAGGCCTTTGGACTTTGTAGCCAACCTTGGTCAACCTCCTGACTCCACACCCTAAAACCCCCTCCCATCTTGCAAAAAACCACGAGAAAGTTACTTCTGTAACTTTCCACTGTTTACCCCAAACCTATAAAACCAACTCCTATCCCGCTGCTCTCCGCTGACTCCCTTTTCGGGCTCAGTGCGCCCGCACCCAGGTGAATAAACAGCCATGTTGCTCACACAAAGCCTGTTTGGGGTCTCTTCATTCAGAGTATGTGTTTTAACATATAGTGCTTGATACTTTTTATGCACTTACAAAGTGTTGACTAGATTTATATAGTAGGAAGAAAATAATAGTTTACCTATCTCAAGAGTCTGCTTTTAGAGACTCCACTAATTTTCCAGGGCTGCCACAATAACCTGAGTGGCTTAAGCAACAGGAATGTATTTTTCTCACAGCTCTGGAGGCTGGAAGTCCAAGTTCAGGGTTGGTTCCCTCTGAGGGCTGTGAGGGAGAATGTTCCCGGCCTCTCCCCTGGCTTCTGGAAGCTTGTTGGCAGCCCTTGGTGTTCCTTGACTTCTGCTGCACCACCCAATCTCTGTCTTCATCTCCACATGGCGTTCTCCCTGCATGTCTGTCTCCAAATTTCCCTTTTTTTAAAAAAAATAAAAGAACCGCAGTTCTGTTGGATTTGGGGCCCACCCTACTCCAGTATGGCCGCATCTTCACTAATTCTGTCTGCAACGACTCTGTTTCTAAATAAGGCCACACACATTCCAAGGTGCTAGTGGTGAAGACTTCAACGTGTGAACTTTCACGGGACACAGTTCAGCCTTAACAAAGACCAACTGAAATAACATCTATGAAAGTGCTGTTAGATTCTTGGCCGGGCACGGTGGCTCACGCCTGTAATCCCAGCACTTTGGGAGGCCACGGTGGGTGGATCACGAGGTCAACAGATAGAGACTAACCTGGCCAACATGGTGAAAACCCATCTCTACTAAAAATACAAAAATTAGCTGGGCGTGGTTGCATGTGCCTGTAATCCCAGCTACTCGGGGGGCTGAGGCGGAAGAATCACTTGAACCCAGGAGACGGAGGTTGCAGTGAGCCAAGATTGCACCACTGTGCTCCAGCCTGGTGACAGAGCAAGATCCCATCTCAAAAAAAAGAGAAAGTGCTGTTAGATTCTTGTAAAGAGTTACAGAATGTAAGATTCTGGTTTTGTCACAAATGACCACATCTTAAAGCATCTAGTAACAGACTTCATTGGCGCATACAGTCAGAGCTTACCTTCGTGCACCTGAGACAACTTTTTGGAACAATATTGAGCAGGTTTTATCCAGGGACTCTTTAAAGTGTGTGCTGTCCGTTTGGTTCTGAATCTATTGCCAGTAATTGATTGTTTCACCTCAACTAACAGAGAAAAGTCCATCTTGTTAAAAATTACTCAATACATGGGGTTTGCATACCAAAGGAGATACTGCAGTATGCAGAGAGATTAAATAATTTCTTGGAGGCAAGGGCTCCATGAAATTGCTCAAATTAGCTGGGCCATTCCATAGTGAAACTAAATGGTGAATCCAGCTATCCTCTGGTGCAGGCTTGTGTTATGCCCACTGGCCCCAAATACACATGCTTTCTTCAGGAGATACTTTAACAATGATTCCCTAGAGAACAATTCAGAATGACATGAGGCCATTTTGAACCTAGCAAAGCTGTTCAAATCAAAATGATTTTGTGGTTAAGGTGAAACAGTATGTACCACATGAGTAAAAAGCGTGAACTCTGATGTCCAGCTTCCTTGTTTTACATCCTAATTCTACCTCTGGGATCTTGGGCAAGAGACTTCAGCAACCTTCACCCAATAACCCGACTCACCTGATGTGGCTGCTATCAAGACTGAATGAGATAATCCATGAAACAGAACAGTGTCTGACACACTGCATTCAACAAATGGTGGTGGTTGTTACTCTCAGTGTAACACAGGCCCTCAGAAAAATCACCTTGAGATAACCACTTCCTTTTAAATTGTGAAAAATAAAAACAGTTATGCCATCTAACTCAGTCATTTCCGATTTTATATACTGTAGTTCCTGTGGATACCTGGAATGCGAATGTAATTTTGTACTCTGCCATTTGAATGTTGGCAGTTTTTATGTTCCCAAGCAGTTGTTCTTAACAGCCATATTAAATTCAGTTGAATTAATATACTGTGTTAGGTCATTCTTGCACTGCTATAAAGAAATACCTGAGACAGGGTAATTTATAAGAAAAGAGATTTAATTGGCTCATGGTTCTGCAGGTGATACAGAAATCATGACGGCATCTGCTTCTGGGGAGACCTGAGGAAGTTTCCCATCAGGGCAGAAGGAAGATGAGGGGCAGACACATTACATGGCGAGAATGGAGCAAGAGACAGAGAGAGAGAGAGCGGTGGGAGGTGCCACACACTGTTAAATGACCAAATCTTGTGAGAACTCAAAGTGAGAGCTCACTTATCACCAAGGGGATGGCCCAAGCCATTCATGAGGGATCCGTCCCCGTGATCCAAACACCTCCCACCAGGCCCAACCTCCAACACTGGGGATTACATGTCAACATGAGATTTGAGGAAGGACATACATTCAAACTATACCATACACCAAATTTTACCTAACAGTTCTCCTAGACTTTGGGGGTTTGTTATTTGAGGTACCGCTGATTCATATCACTTTGTATAAGCTAATCAATATCAGTTTGTATAAGCTAATATCACTTTTCTCATTAAGGCCAACAGACCATGACAATCTTTTTTAAACTTCTGCCTAAGTGTCTCTGCTTCAGTCTAGCCCTCTTCCACTGTTGTTTTGACCTAAATTACCTTCCTCATAATCTATTTCCCTATATCTCTGTTCCCAAAGTCTAGATAAAAAGTCAAATCTCCATTATTGTTTCTTATTCTCCCTTTGCAGATTCCAAGCTCCCCATTCTGTCCCTTGCTTTGTTGTGTCACCGTGGATCTATTTGTTACCCTAAACAATGCACCCTACCACAGAGCTCACAAGCTCCTTCTAGGGACATCAAACTGGGGAGACCACAAGAATGGTGCCATTTGTCATCCCCTATGCTCCCCTTCCTACACTGAGTATGTTTGCAGAGTCTAAAAGAGAAACAAAGCATCTCTTTCTTTTCTTTGCCCACCTAACTCCTGCTCAACCTTTATCACTAGGCTCAAATGTATCAACCTCTGTGAAACACTTTCATTTCCCCAGGCAGGGCTCACTGTTCCAACCTACTATTCCCAGGGCACTTTCTACATATTTTAGTATCCTCAGCAATGAACAAGGTTACACATTGAACATGCTCAAAAATGTGTTTGCGGATAAGTCAGTTATGGAAAAAGCTGTATATATGAAGCTGGAAACTGCTTCCGTTGCTTGCTTTGACAGGATTGAATGAGATTATAGCAAAGGCTTGGGAGTCAGACACTTTGATTTGAATATTATCTCTACAGCGTGCTTATTAGGGAACCTTGGGAAATATAAGCCAAACTTTCTGAGTCTCAGCCTTGTCACCTGCAACATGGGCTCATCTCTGTCACTGACTTCCTCAGAGGGCTGATGTGGACCAGGTGGGATGATAAATGCAAAGCACACAAGTGCATGGTTTAAAGTAGTAGCGATTAAGGCTAGCAAAGAATTCGAGACCAGCCTGGTCAACATAGTAAGACCTTGTCTCTACAAAAAATGTAAAAAAAAAAAAAAATTAACCAAGTGTGGTGGTGCATGCCTATAGTGCTAGCCACTCAGAAGGCTGAGGCAGGAGGATTGGTTGAACCTAGGAGATTGAGGCTGCAGTGAGCTGTGATCATACCACCCAGTCTGGGTGACAGAGAGAGACACCATGTCTGTCAAAAAAAAAAAGGGGGGGGAGGGGACCAGCAATAAAGATCCTGAAAAGTCAAAATTGGCCAAAAGTATTATCCCCTGCTGAATTTTGTCAACAAGCCCCAGGTTCCTACCTCTTAAAACATAAATGGGGACAATAGCTTACCAGGAGCTAGAAGCCCATCATTTCAAGGAGTTTCCTGTCTATTCTGCTTCAGTCTTTCTAAATTTTTTTGCCTGCTCTTTTCAAGGGTCTTCTACTCATCATAAAGCACTGCTGAAAGCATGCCTCACCCTGTCCTCCTCCAGCTCTCGCCCCCGTCTTCAGACCTTTCCCCAGCCGCGCTGTAACCTGAGACTTACTCCGTGGTTGCCTTTTCTGTGAGCTGAGAATCGTTTCTAGCCATCCCGCTAAGAAGTGTGAATTAAATGTGTGATCTGGAAGGGTCGATGCAGCAGGTCATGAATAACCATAGCTCATTGATTATAACTAATGACTAATCTAACAAAAGATGATTGACTCCAAAGGGTCGACAAGTGGCATTGTTATGAACAGGAGGGGAGGAGGAAACAGAGAGGGGAGAAAATGTAGATGCCGATGAGATTTCCAGAATGAGGCCCCAAGCAGCCAGAGGGTGGTATGCTGTGTCCATCTCTTGGGAAAGGGAGGGAGTATATAAAATGGGGGAAATGGGAAAACAGGAGAAGAGTGGTACTTTAAGTTCTGCCAGAGGCCAACCTTTCTGTGTGCAGTGACACTCGTTTGCAAGGTTGCTGAATGCGTTGCAGTCTCTGAATAGATAAGTGAGGAAAGACAAAGCTAGCAGGGCCCAGCCAAGCTGACAGGCCTGGCTAGCACTGGGGGGCCAGTGCTGGCTAGTATCAGGTATGCTTCCAAGAGGCTGTCAGACTGTCCAGGGGCAAGTAAATATGTGCTCACTGGCCTTAGAAAGACTCTTTAAAAACTTGAAGCTCTGCCTTTGATTTAGGTCCATAAGATATTAGGAGATTATTAAAATGTAAAAGGTTGCTAAGGAATGAAACTAAACAATGCCAAAGAGCCTAATCTAAATGCAGACAAAAAATAAAATCACAGTTCTCTTTGCTTGGCCTAGATGCCTGGAGCATCTTGAAAGAAGGCACATTTCTGCACCTGAATAATGTTAATCTTGGGTTTAGAAAGAGGTAGAGTGAATATGGAGAATTTTGAGACTGCTCAAAATCACTTCTGATTACACTTAGATATTCTAGGAAATCACTCGAATATTTATTTTAAAATTACATTGTGGAAAACATGCTACTAGAAAATAATGATGATAACCACAACTAACTTTATTATACCTTACAGCTGACACAGAGCTTTTCACATGGTGGATATTCACTGATCTCCAAATAATGTGCAAGTGTATGGTACCGCATGAGTCATGATTATCTCCCTTAAGGAGTTTACCATCCAGGAGGAGAAGAAAAGGACAAGTACAATGTAATATAATACAAGTTGGATGGTGATACGGGCTGTAATAAATATAATAAATTATGATTGTCTAAAAGTAGGTTACATAAAGGGAGCATCGTTTAAAATGGACTTTGAACTTTTGATAGGTGGAGGTGTCAGATAGAAGCAAAGAAAAACATCACATACAAGGGCAGGAAATAGAAAATTGCAGCACACGTTCAAAGAACAAGTAATGCAGGAAGGATAGGCTATGGTAGACATCTGTTACTTTTGCTTACTCAGTATTCACTCTCTATTCTCTTTGTCACAGTAACTCTTTTCGTTTAGAGAAATCCATCTATTCTTAGTATCTGAAAAGTAGAGTTGACCCCACTGCTGGATTCAGAGTGGGGCCTGTGATCATGGCTCGACCGATCACCACCTTCCATCTCCCTGGATGGAGTGATTCATTTAGAACTGAGCACAGAACTCAAGTCAACCAATGTGCCAAGACTAAATCCCAAGAATTTTGTTGGAATTTTAGGAAAGAGTCAATCTCTTTCCATAAGATCGCTAGCTGTGAAGATAATGTAAACTTGGAATTTCTGAGTCTCTCTGAGGAGAGTGCTCACCACCGAGAGAGACCAGCACATATATACACTTAGATGTTGCCATGATGGAGGCGACAACACATCACCCCAATGTTTAGCCAGTCCAAATTGCTTTCTGTCACTTGTAACCATGAAAATGATCAATCCATAGCTGAGGACAAATGGGAGAGAGACTTGAGTGCCCCATCAAGGAACTTCATTCTCTAGTCAACAAAAAGTAGAATCACAGGAGGTTTTGGGAAAGAAGAGTTAGAAGGCAGTGTCATAGGCAGGATACTGGGTAAAAGATTTTTACAAAGGCAAGGCCAATGATAGGAATTGTGGCTCTTTGTGGCTTCCCTTTGTGAGTTCACGGACTCATCATTGTCATCAATTCGGAAGCTTACTGTGCCATAGGCACTGTTCTAAGCACTGCACACAATTAACTCATTCTTCGATGCTCATGCCAACCCCATGAGAGAGGCTCAGGGACTCTCATTTAACACTCACACCAACTCTAAGAGGAAGGTCCAGTTATTATCCCCATTTTACAGAAATTTTTTTTTTCATTTTTTCCTGTAGAATAAAATTCCATGCAAATAGCAGTTCACTATTTTATCTCCACCACCAAGAATAGTTCCTGGAACGTTACAGATTCTCAATAAGTATTTGTTTAGTGAAATGAATAAATGAGTGATTCAGGAAGCATGAAATGCTCCCATCAATGTGATCACTTGGGTAACCCAAAGGAGCATTACTTCTGTGTTTAATTAATCGTTTATGTCACTGCAATGAGAATGCAATGAGACGCCCTAGTATTGGAGCTGGTAGCCTCAAGTGAGTAGGAACTAGGTGGTATCTGCAAGGGTACCAAGGAGGCATGGGCACACAATTGAGGCACAAGCAGGTTAACAAATCTCCAATCTCTCACAACTAATCAAATGACAGCACCAGGATTTCAACCCTGGGAGTCAGGTCCCAGAGCCAGTCCACAAAGAAGACAAGTACCAACATCATGAAGTCTTGCAAGCTCCAAATTTCCTTCTCCAGTGGCCCATCCCTTCTCCCCAATAACCTGGATGTCAATATTTAGAATCACTTCTTTGACTTAGAAAGGTAGTTGGGAGTGTTGTTTCTAGACTGTCCCTGTTATATTGTTACTTTAGTAGGAGACTAGGACCTGACCTTTTCCCACTTAAACATCAACAGAGCCTTAAGGGGCACAGGAAAATTTTAAAGAAAAAACTGTTGTGGAATTATAATATTGGGGCACTACACAGAGAAATACTGAATCTCCCTGGCGTTGGCAAAAGGGTACTTGATGTGGGGGTAAAGAAAGAAGGGGCACAGAAAGAATTTGTTTCCTAACATGAGTATCATGTCTCCTTCAAAATGTAGATTTCTGTCAAAATTCCCAAAAGCACATTCTTGCAATGCTGTGCATACTTCCATAAATGGCCCTTGCCTGTGTTGTTTCAGTCAGTCCTTGGATACAGCGAGATGAAGTCGAGCCTCCCAAGTACTGTCACTGTCAAGTTCCTTCTCTCTGCCAGACCTTCCCACAGCCCCAGATGGTGTAGCTTCTCCCTCCCTCTCATTTCCTGAGCAGGTGGGAGAAAGGAAAGAGTTAGAAAAGAGGCAAGAAGCATAGAATTTGCCAGTACTAACCCTGGCTCTCACCCACCCATCCAGCATGGCTGATGCAAAACTGGCATTAGATTTGTAAGTGGTTGAAGTAGCCCCAGGCACATGCCTCCCTAGTGCCCCTGCAGGTACCACCTACTTCCTACCTACCTCAGGCTACCAGCTACAATAGGAGGTATCACTGCATTGACATAAATGATTAATTATACACAGAAGTAATGCTCCTCTGGGTTACCCAGTTGATCATATTCATGGGAGCATTTGAGGAGAGAATTTGAAGGAAGAGGCATCATGCTTCCTGAATCACTCATTTATTCACTTCATTAAACACATATTTATTGAGAACCTATGCTGTATCAGGAACTATTGTTTTTTGGGGGAGGGGTGGGAGGGATAGAGTCTCACTCTGTCACTTAGGCTGGAATGCAGTGGCACGATCTCGGGTCATGGCAACCTCCGCCTCCCTGGTTCAAGCAATTCTCCTGCCCTAGCCTCCCAAGTAGCTTGGATTACAGGCACATGCCATCACGCCTGGCTGATTTTTTTTGTATTTTAGTAGAGACGGGGTTTCACCATGTTGGTTAGGCTGGTTTCGAACTTCTGACCTCAAGTGATCCGCCCACCCTGGCCTCCGAAAGTGCTAGGATTACAGGCGTGAGCCACCATGCCTGGCCACCAGGGACTATTCTTGGTGGTCGAGATAAAATAGCGAACTGCTATTTTCATGGAATTTTATTCTAGTGGAAAAAATGAACAATAAACAAAGTAATAAATATACAAGCTGATGCATGACCTATGATACAAAGTGCTATAAACAAAATAAATCTGGATAAGGGTAGTTAAAGAGGAAACGACTGCTAATTTCGGAAGAGTTGTCAGGGAAATCTTCACTGAGGAAGTAGAGGCAGCAGCAAGCCAAGTGAAACTGGAGGGAACATTATACCCTAGCTGAAGGGAAAAACAGGACACAATCATTCTTGGCATATTTGAGGATAAGAAAGACTGTGTGGCTGGAATAGAATGAACAAGCAAAAGAGTTACAGGGAATGAAGTTGGTGAAGGAACCATGGCCTATATAAGGATTTTGTATTGTATGTATTTTTAGGATGATGGGAAGCTATTGGTAGATTTTTGTGCAGAAGAGTGATATGAAGTGATTTGTATTTTAAGAGGTGCTTAAGGCAGAAAGAATGCAAGAAGGCAAGTGAGGGAGCAAGGAGACCAGTTGGTTCAGGTGAAAGATGAAGGTAGCCTGGACCAGAGTGATAGTGGTGGAGGTGGGAGAAATGTGAAAGCTCTAGATAGATTTTGAAATTTAAAGCCTTCATCTCATTTTGTGTCTGTATCGAGGAAACTTCTGGTGACTGTGTTACTTGCCTTTGGTTCACCTGTGATGTCAGCCATGCAACTGAGATAGATAGTTCCCAGGAGCCCATCTTCACCTGGCTCTGTCTCCAACACTAAAGTACCCTCCTTGTCCTGCAGGCAGGCACCACCCAAGAGTACAGGCTGGAGGCGTTATAATGCCAGGAGCAAACCTTGCCCAGCAGGGGACTGCAGCTAGAGGGCTAACTATTCCAACCTCCTCTCTTTCAGGTGGAAGATTCTAGAAGGCATTCCATGTACTTCTCAGAGATCCAGCCTACATCAGTGACCTTGGACACACCCCCTTATGTTGACTTGTCCGCCTTCTATGTCTCACTTTCCCAACTCTCTCTCATTATCCTCACCCAATTCCTTGCCTGGGTCTCTGCTTTGAAGGAACTCAACAAAGATAGGGCATTTCCCACTCTATCTAATCCTTATTTCCCATAGTCCTCTGTTTATGACCAAGGTTGTTGAGGAAAACTTCCAGGAGACACATTGAGGGAAAACATCCAGTCTATCGTTTTTTTTCAAGGATCCATGGGGTTTACAACCAGAAACAGATCTTCCAACCCTCAAATTCTCCAATGAGGGTAGCTATCATCATCCCCACTTCAAAGATCGACATCTACAGCCCAGCTTGTGAAAATTCAATTGAAAACCAATTGTTCATTAAGGGGAAAATAATCAGAGACCTCTTCCAGGCAGGAGAATACAGGATACTGTAAACAAGGTATAGTCTCCAAATACATAGATGGCTTTGTAATGGACCTGAATGGATGCATTGCAGAGTTTATAAGCAATAAAAAGACAGAGATGCAGCTGAGTGATAATTCGGCTGGGCAATAATATACTCCAATGCAACTTGGCAAGAATTGCTTAAAGTGCATTGGCTGGTAGGTTCTGAATGTTCTTTATTAGAAATGACTGTAGATTAAAGAGATATGAGACAAGTGAGTAACACAAAGCAGAAGAAATCCTTAAATCAAAATAGACATTTTAATAACTATGCTTTAAATAAATCCCCCTCTAAAGTCTTCTAACGTTTAACAGCTGCAAATAAATATGACACTGGGAGAAGCTAATCAAAAAGTTTAACAATGCAGAAAACAACAGAGCAAAAAAGAAATGAAAACACCACATCTTCAGCCCCTTTAGGCCTCTAGCCTCCCTCCCTCTCTGGTGCTACCATGCTCCCCAGCACCCCAACATCCTGCAGGTTGGGCAGCCTCCTAGCTGAGACCTGTGGAGCCAGACAGACTGGGTTTGAATCTCAGCTCTGTCATGTTTCATATCTGCGCACCTGGCCAAGTGTCTTAGCCTTCCAAGTCTCAGGGTTCATAGCTATAAAATTGGGCTAAGCCACCTGATAGGGTTGTTGCAATAGTTAAGTGAGCTAATACATATGAAGGCAGAGTAAATACTCAGTAAAATGTCAGCTATTGCTTTACTATCTTGCTAAAGGAGCATAAGAGAGATAGAGGTAAAAAGAAAGAAAACAGATTGAAAGAACAGAGAATAGAAAGAAAAGGAGCCTTAGAGACCACTGAAAGTTTGCTAAGTCACAACGATACTCAGGCAGTGCACCCAGCCTGACTAGCCTGGGTTTAGATGGATCAATGCTCCACCTAGTTAATAAATAGTGAATATCACTCCTGCCTTGGCTTTTGAATTATTCAACCACAGAGAATCCACAGGATGTAAATCTTTACAATCCTTTCAGAAATCAATATGGTAACACATGTCAAAGGCTATATTGCATATCTGTAAACACTGAATCCCACTCCTGGGAATTTATTCAAATACAATTGACCTTTGGACAACACAGCGGTTAAGGTTGATGACCCCCCACACAGTCGAAGATCCACATAACTTTTATTCCCTTGGAAGCATAACTGTCACCAAACCATGTGTAATTCTTTTTTCTTAACTTTTATTTTAGGTTCAGAAGTACATGTACAGGTTTGTTATATAGGTAAACTCATGTCATGGGGGTTTGTTGTACAGATTATTTAATCACCCAGCTATTAAGCCTAGTACCCATTAGTTATTTTTCCTGTTCCTCTCCCTCCTCCTATCTCCTTCACCCCCTGGTGGGCCCCAGTGTCTATTATTCCCCTCTTAGTGTCCATGTGTTATCATTTAGCTCCACTTATAAGGCTATGCAGGCCAGATGCGGTGACTCACACCTGTAATCCCAGCACTTTGGGAGGCCAAGGTGGGCGGATCATGAGGTCAGGATATCGAGACCATCTTGGCCATGGTGAAACCCCATCTCTACTAAAATACAAAAAATTAGCCAGGTGTGGTGGCACATGCCTGTAGTCCCAGCTACTCAGGAGGCTGAGGTAGGGGAATCTCTTGAATCCGGGAGACAGAGGTTGCAGTGAGCCAGGATCATGCCACTGCACTCCAGTCTGGCAAAAGAGCAAGACTCCATCTCAAAAAAAAAAAAAAGACTATGCAGTATTTGGTTTTCTGTTTCTGCGTTAGTTTGCTAAGGATGATGGCCTCCAGCTCCATTCTCGTTCCTGCAAAGAACATATTGTTTATTTTTATGAGTTCATAGTATTCCATAGTGTATATGTACCACATTTTTCTTTATTCATTCTACCATTGATGGGCATTTAAGTTGATTCCATGTCTTTGCTATTGTGAATAATGCTGCAATGGACATACACTTGTATTTGTCTTTATGATAGAATAATTTCTATTCCTTTGTGTATATACCCAGTAAAGGGATTACTGGGTCAAACACTAGTTTTGTTTTTACCGCCTTGAAGAATCACCACACTGCTTTTCACAATGGTTGGACTAATTTACACTTCCACTAACACTGTATAAGTGTTTCTGTTGCTCCTCAACCTTGCCAGCATCTGTTATTTTTTGACTTTTTAGTAATAGCCATTCTGACTGGTATGAGATGGTATCTCATTGTGGTTTTGATTTGTATTTCTCTAATGATTAACGATTAAGCTTTGTTTCACATACTTGTTAGATGTATGTCTGTCATCTTTTGAGAAATGTCTGCTCACGTCCTTTGCCCACTTTTTAATGGGGTTGTTTCAATTTAGTTGTTTGAAACTAAATTTAAGTTTCTTATAGATGCTAGATATTAGACCTTTGTCACATTCATAGTTTGCAAATATTTCCTCCCATTCTGTAGTTGGTCTGATTACTCTGTTGATAGTTTCTTTTGTTGTGCAGAAGTTCTTACATTGAATTAGATCCCATTTGTCAATTACTGCTTTTGTTGCAATTGCGTTTGGTGTCTTTATCATGAAATCTTTGCCAGTTCTGATGTCTAGAAGGAAATCACCTAGGTTGTCTTCCAGGGTTTTTATAGTTTTACATTTAAGGCTTAATCCATCTTGAGCTGATTTTTGTATATGATGTAAGGAAGGGGTCCAGTTTTAATCTTCTGCATATGGTTAGCCAGTTACCCCGTCACCATTTATTGAATAGGGAGTCCTTTCCCTGTTGCTTATTTTTGTCAGCTTTGTCAAAGATCAGATGGTTGTAGGTGTGTGGCCTTGTTTCTGGGCTCGCTATTCTGTACCATTGGTCTATGTGTCTGTTTTTGTACCAGTACCACACCATTTTGGCTACCGTAGCCCTGTAGTATAGTTTGAAGTCAGGTAGCATGATGTCTCCAGCTTTGTTCTGTTTGCTTAGGACTCTCTTGGCTATTTGGGGTTTTTGTGGTTTCATATGAATTCTAAAATAGTTTTTTTCTAGTTTTGTGAAGAATGTCACTGGTAGTTTGATAGGAAAAGCACTGAATCTGTAAAATACCGTTTTATTTTATTTGTTCTTCCTATCCATGAACATGAAATGTTTTTCCATTTGAGTCATCTCTGGTTTCTTTGAGCAGTGTTTTGTGATTCTCATTGTTGAGATCTTTCACCTCCCTGGTTAGTTGTATTCCTAAGTATTTTATTCTTTTTGAAGAAATTGTGAATGGTATTGCCTTTCTGATTTGCTCTTGGTTTGGCTGTTATTGGTGTGTAGGAATGCTAGTAATTTTTCTATGTTGATTTTGTATTCTGAAGCTTTGCTGAAGTTGTTTACCAGCTGAAAGAACTTTTGAGTGGAAACTATGGGGTTTTCTAGATACAGAATCATGTCATCTGCAAACAGGAGTAGTTTAACTTCCTCTCTTCCTATTTGGCCCTTTCTTTCTTTCACTTGCCTGATTTCTCTGGCTAGAACTTCCAATACTATGCTGAATAGGAGTGGTGAGAGAGGGCATCCTTGCCTTGTGTTGGTTTTCAAGGGGAATGCTTCCAGCTTTTGACCATTATTTATGATGTTGGCTGTGGGTTTGTCACAGATGGCTCTAATTTTATTTTAAGGTATGTTTCTTTATTTCCCAGTGTATTAAGACATTTTAACATTAAGAAATGTTAAATTTCATTGAAAGTTTTTCTGTATTTATTGAGATAATCATGTGATTTTTGTGTTTGGTTCTGTTTATGTGATGAATCACATTTATTGACTTTCATATGTTGAACCAACCTTGCATCCCAGAGATGAAGCTTACCTGGTCCTGGCGAATTAGCTTTTCGATGTGCTGCTGGATTTGGTTTGCAAGTATTTTATTGAGGATTTTTGCATTACTGTTCATCAAGGTTACTGGCCTGAAGTTTTCATTTTTTGTTGTGTCTCCAACAGGTTTTAATATCAGGATGATCCTGGCTTCACAGAATGAGTTAGGAAGGAATCTGTCCACCTCAACCTCATAAAAATAGTTTTCTTAGGAATGGTACCAGCTCTTCTTTGTACATCTGGTAGAATTAGGCTCTTAATCTATCTTGTCCTTGCATTGTGAAATCCTGTGTGTTTTTCAGCTCTATCAGAGCAGTTAGGTTATTTTTTATACTGGCTACTTCATCTGTCAACTTCTGTATCATTTTGATTCTTTATTTTCTTGGATTGGGTTTTGCCATTCTCTTGAATCTCAGTAATCTTCATTCCTATCCATATTCTGAATTCTATTTCTGTCATTTCAGCCAACTCACCCTGGTTTAGAACCCTTGTTAGAGAACTAGAGTGATTTTTTTTCAAGGACATAAGACACTGCAGCCATTTGAGTTGGCATTCTTGTTGTGATTCTTCTTCATCTCTGCCTGCGAATGTAGCTTTAACTGGTGGGCTGCTTCTGATTGAAGTGGTCAGATGCGCAGGATGATTGTGCTGGAGTTCTAGGTCACATGACTCTGTCCAGTGAAGAGGATTGAGGACTGGGACCTACATAGGAAAAAGTCTTGCCACTTTTCTGTGAGGCTGGTGCACGGTGCTAGGGGTCCAGACCAGCCCCTGGTCCCATGGATTCTCTGCTATCCTGAAGACAGCAAAGATAGCAACCTGCCCCTCCCACTGAGAGCTTTGTCCCAGGGAGTTGCAGAGCTCCTACAGGCTCAACTGTTGCAGCAGTGGGGTTGCTGGAGACCTAGGCCAGGAGGACCTGCCCATTGAGGAGTTACGGGATCAGGGACCTATATAACAAACAGTCTGGCCACTGTTCCATAGGACTGCTGCAGTATGCTGGGGGTTCACTCCAGTTCTTAGTCACTCTGAATTTTCCAATACCTGAAGATATCAATGGTGAAGTCTACAAAACAGCAAAGATGGCGGCCTGCTCCTCCCTCCCAGGAAGGTACAGCCCTATTGCTAGTCCGAACATACTGGTGGGGGTGACTGGGGACCCCAGTTAGAAGGTCTACCCAGTGAGGAGAAATAGGATTGGGAGCCTGCATTAAAAAGCAGTCTGGTCACTTCTCTGTAGAGCAGCTGCGCTATACTGGGGGTATGCTCAAAACCCCAATTTCCTCAGACTCTCCAAAGCCCAAAGGCAATAATGGCTAAGCCTGTAAGACAGTAAAGATGGCAGTCCACCCCTCCCTCTGGGAGCTCCATCCCAGGGAGGTTTGGAATTACTGTTAGCTGGTGATATGGTTTGGCTGTGTCCCTACCCAAATCTCATCTTGTATTGTAGTTCCCATTATCCCCACCTGTCATGGGAGGGACCCAGTGGGAAGTAATTAATTCATGGGGACAGTTACCTCCATGCTGCTCTCATGACAGTAAGGGAGTTCTTATGTGGCCTGATGGTTTGATAAGGGGCTTTTCCCCTTTTTATCAACAATTCTCCTTCCTGCCACCATGTGAAGAAGAATGTGTTTGCTTTCCTTTCTGCCATGATTGTAAGTTTCCTGAGGTTTCCCCATATCTGCAGAAGTATAGGTCAATTAAACCTCATTTCTTTTTTTTTTTTTTTTTTTGAGACGGAGTTTTGCTCTTGTTACCCAGGCTGGAATGCAATGGCGCGATCTCGGCTCACCGCAACCTCCGCCTCCCGGGTTCAGGCAATTCTCCTGCCCCAGCCCCCTGAGTCGCTGGGATTACAGGCACACGCCACCATGCCCAGCTAATTTTTTGTATCTTTAGTAGAGACGGGGTTTCACCATGTTGACCAGGATGGTCTCGATCTCTTGACCTTGTGATCCACCCGCCTTGGCCTCCCACAGTGCTGGGATTACAGGCTTGAGCCACCGCGCTTGGCCTAAACCTCATTTCTTTATAAACTACTCAATCTAGGGCAGTTATTTATAGCACTATGACAACAGACTAATATAGTTAATTGATACTGCAGAGAGTGAGATGCTGCTAAAAAGATACTCAATCTGTTCGTTTCCTCTCTTATTTCATTGAGCAGTGGTTTGTAGTTCTCCTTGAAGAGTTCCTTTACATTCTTTGTTAGTTGTATTCCTAGACACAAACAGATGGAGAAACATTTCATGCTCACGGTTAGGAAGAATCAATATCGTGAAAATGGCTATACTGCCCAAAGTAATTTACAGATTCAATGCTATCCCCATCAAGCTACCAATGACCTTCACAGAACTGGAAAAAACCACCTTAAACTTTATATGGAACCAAAAGAGAGCCTGCATAGCCAAGTCAATTCTAAGCAAAAAGAACAAAGCGGGAGGCATCACACTACCTGACGTCAAACTATACTACAAGGCTACAGTAATCAAAACAGCATGGTACTGGTACCAAAACAGAGATATAGACCAATGGAACAGAACAGAGGCCTTGGAGGAAACGCCACACATCTACAACCATCTGATTGATCACTGACAAATCTGACAAAAACAACCAATGGGGAAAGGACTCTGTTTAATAAATGGTGTTGGGAAAACTGGCTAGCCATGTGCAGAAAGCAGAAACTGGACCCCTTCCTGACACCTTACACTAAAATTAACTCCAGATGTATTAAAGACTTAAACATAAGACCTAACACCATAAAAACCCTAGAAGAAAACCAGGCAAAACAATTCAGGACATAGGCATAGGCAAGGACTTCATGACTAAAACACCAAAAGCACTGGCAACAAAAGCCAAAATAGATAAACATGACCTAATTAAACTCCAGAGTTTCTGCACAGCAAAAGAAACAATCATGAGTGAATCAGCAACCAACAGAATGGGAAAAAATTTTTGCAATCTACCCATCTGACAAAGGTCTAATATCCAGAATCTACAAAGAACTAAAACAGATTTACAAGAAAAAAACAAACAAATCCATTCAAAAGTGGGCAAAGGATATGAACAGATACTTTACAAAAGAAGACATATATGAGGCCAACAAACATATGAAAAAATGCTCATCATCACTGGTCATTAGAGAAATGCAAATGTTCAACAATGGGAACACATGGACACAGGAAGGGGAGCATCAAACACTGAGGTATGTGGTGGGGGAAACTAGGGGAGGGTTAGCCGGGAGTGGGGGTGTGGAGTTGGGGAGGGATAACATGGGGAGAAATGCCAGATATAGTTGATGGGGAGGAAGGCAGCAAACCACATTGCGATGTACGTACCTATGCAACAACACTAAAAAATGTGGAAGGGACTTTGGAACCGGGTAACAGGCAGAGGTTGAAACAGTTTGAAGGGCTAGAAGAAGACAGAAAAATGTGAGAAAGTTTGGAAGTTCCTACAGACTTGGAGGGTTCAGAAGACAGGAAAATGTGAGAAATTCTGCAACTTCCTGAAGGCTTGTTGAATAGATTTGACCAAAACGCTGACAGTGATATGGATAGTAAAGTCCAGGTTGAAGTGTCCCCAGATGGAGATGAGGAACTTGTTGGAAACTGGAGCAAAAGTAACTCTTGTTACGCTTTAGCAAAGAGACTGGCAGCATTTTGTCCCTTCCCTAGAGATGTATGGAACTTTGAACTTGAGATTATTTAGGGTATCTGGCAAAAGAAATTCTAAGCAGCAAAGCATTCAAGATAAAACAGAGCAGCTTGGCACAGTGGCTCATGCCTGTAATCCCAGCACTTTGGGAGGCCGAGGTGGGTAGATCCCTTGAGGTGAGGAGTTTTAAACCAGCCTGGCCAACATGATGAAACCCTGCTTCTACTAAAAATACAAAAATTAGTCAGGCATGGTGGCACATGCCTGTAATCCCAGCTGCTTGGGAAGCTCAGGCACGAGAATCAATTGAACCTGAGAGGCGGAGTTTGCAATGAGATCACACCACTGAGTGACAGAGTGAGACTCTGCCTCAGGAAAAAAAAAAAAAAGATGAAGTAGAGCATAAAAGTTTGGAAAATTAGCAGCCTGATAACGCAATAGAAAAGAAAAACCCATTTTCTGAGGAGAATTTCAAACCCCAAGCTGATGCAGCTTCCACATGGTGTGGAGCTGCAAGTGCACAAAAGTCAATAATTGAGGTTTGGGAACCTTCATCTAGATTTCAGAGTATGTATGAAAATGCCTGGATGTCAAGGCAAATGTTTGCTGCAGGGGTAGAGCCCACATGGAGAACCTTTGCTAGGGCAGTGTGGAAGGGAAATGTGGGGTCAGGGCCACCATACAGAGTCTCCACTGGGGCACTGCCTCGTGGAGCTATGAGAAGAGGGCCACTGTCCTCCAAATCTCAGAATGGTAGATCCACCAAAAGCTTGCACCATGCACTTGGAAAAGCTGCAGACACTCAGTGCCAGTCTGTGAAAGCAGCTGAGAGCAGGGCTGCATCCTGCAAAGCCACAGGGGAAGAACTACCCAAGGCCATGGGAACCCACCTCTTGCATCAGCATGACCTGGATGTGAGACATGGAGTCAAAGGAGACCATTTTGGAGCTTTAAGATTTGACTGCCCTGCTGAATTTTGGACTTGCATGGGGCCTGTAGCCCCTTCATTTTGGCCAATTTCTCCCATTTGGAATGAGTATATTTACCCAATGACTGTACCCCCATTGTATCTAGGAAGTAACTAACTTGATTTTGATTTTACAGGCTCATAGGCAGAAGAGACTTGCCTTGCCTCAGATGAGACTTTGGACTTGGACTTTTTGGTTAATGCTGGAATGAACTAAGAATTTGGGGGACTGTTAGAAAGGCATGATTGTGTTTTAAAATCTGAGGACATGAGATTTGGGAGGGGCCAGGGGTGGAATGATATGGTTTGGCTGTGTCCCCACCCATAGTTCCCCTAATCCCCATGTGTCATGGGCGGGACTTGGTGGGACATAATTGAATCATGGAGGTGATTACCTCCATGCTGTTCTTGTGATAGTGAGGGAGTTCTCATGAGATCTGATGGTTTTGTAAAGGCCTTTTCTCCTTTTGCTCAACACTACTCCTTCCTGCCACCATGTGAAGAGGATATGTTTGCTTCTCCTTCTGCCATGATTGTAAGTTTCCCAAGGTCTCCCCATCCCTACAGAACTGTAAGTCAGTTAAATCTCTTTCCTTTATAAACTACCCACTCTCAGGGAGTTCTTTATAGCACATGAGAATGGACTAATACAGCTGGAAAACACTGGCAGGGGTGATTGTAGAACTTGGTTGGGAGATTTTGCCCAGTGAAGACAAACAAGATCTGGTACCTGTGCAAAAAAGCAGTCTGGTAGCCTCTTGGTAGAGCTGCTACCCTCTACCAGGGTACTGCTCCACCCTAATCATTTCGGATTCGCCAGAGCCCAAAATATCGATGGTTAAAACTGTGAAACAGCAAAGATAGTGTCCTGCCCCTCCCACTTTGGATGTTCTGTCTCGGGGAGGTGTAACACTGCCACCTGTGGCTGGCTGCAGCTCCAAGTCAGTGGGTCCTATCCTGTGAGGTGCTGTGGAAACAGGGCCTGCAGACCATCACTGCTCAACACCCTAGATTCAGCCCCTTTCCTAGGGATATATGTAGAGGTCTAACCTCCTGCTTTGCCAGAGTTGCAGCTGCTTTTGCTGGGAAGCCTGGTTATCTAAAGCTCCTGGAGCTTGGAGTGTATCTGCGTAGTTGCTCTGGCAAGACTCTGCACAGCTCTTTGTGTCAGACAGAAGGCCCTGGTGAAGTGGGCTCATGAGGGGAATCTCCTGACCTGAGGATTGAAAATCTTTCCATGGGAAAAGCATGGGTCACTGCAGTTGCTCACTCAATCACTGCTTCCCTGAGCAGGGGAGACTCCCCTGGCTCCACGTCACTCCTGGGTGGGCAATTGTCCTGCCTTATTTTTCTCTGTTCTCCATGGGTCAAGTTGTTTTCTTAATGAATCCCAATGCATGTACAGGAGTGTTTTGTGAAGGTGCTGTATTTACTTGCCCCTTCATTTCTCTCCATTAGAGCAGGGCACACTAGCTGCTTCTAGTTGGCCATCTTGGCCAGCTGCCCAATGTATAACTCTTGACTCCTCAAAACCTTAACTACTAATTGCACACTGTTAATTGGAAGCCTTATCAATCATATAAACAGTTAATTAGTACATATTTTATATGTTGTATTATATACTGTATCCTTACAGTAAGCTAGAGAAAAGTAAATGCTGTTAAGAAAATAAGAAAGAGAAAATATATTTACTATTCATTAAGTGGTAGTCGATCATCAAAAAGGTCTTCATCCCTGTCTTCTTCAGATTGAGTAGGCTGAGGAGGAAGAGGAATAGGAGTTGTTGGTTTTGTTGTCTAGGTGCCAGAAACTGAAGAAAATTCACAAATAAGTGGACCTGTGCAGTTCAAACCCATGGACACAGAGATGCTCACGGAGGTGCTTTCTATGAAGGCAAAACACCACG